CCCTCGGATCCACAGGCACCGTCCATTGACATCTTCACCTTTCTCTGCTGATGCGAGATACGCAATCCCCATGGCAACATCCTCCGGTTCACTCGCTTCATGTCCCTGTGTAACCTCGGGCGGTAGATTGGCGGTCAACGCCGTACGCGTGAGCCACGGCCCCACCATCGTGATGGAGATGTTCTTTTCCTTCAGCTCTTCTCTTTGGGACGAGCTGCGCATTAACCCAATAAGTGCATGTTTCGATGCGACATAAACGTCTTGATAAGTAACGGGAATGTACGAGGCAGCTGATCCGGTTATGATGATGCGGCCCCCGCAGCCGTGCCCAAGGTGATGCACGGCCAATTTGACCCCGTAAAGAACGCCATAGAAGTTCACATCAAAGATTGCTTTTGGCGGTGGCTTCAGAAGCTGTCCGCTTCCGTCGGAGACTTGACTTGGGTTGCCAGAGGCTTCGTACTCGTCCGCAAGGTAGTTACTTGCAACTCGCTCCTTGCCCGACGAGGACTCCGAGGTTGCCAATTCAGGATCGATACCGGCATTCAGACACACAATTTTTGGAGGACCATATTTGCGTGCTACCCAGTTGAACAAGGACAGTTGTTGCTCCCAGGACGAGACATCACACGCGTAGAATTCGCAACCATGGCCGATGGTTTGTGCGACATCTTGCAATCTTGTTGCCTCCAAATCAACCAAGATAACCTTCGCACCGTGCTGGGCAAACAGTCGGGCAGTTGCAAGACCTATCCCACTTGCTGCGCCGGTCACAAGAACAACCTTGCCTAGATGCTCACTGAGGACAGCCGACGTCGGCAGAACGACTTCGGACATTGTTGCTCTCGGATCAATTCGCAAAAAGCACCCGAGGCAGATATGATGCTAGATGGTGAAAAGAAAAGGAAAAGAAAAAGTGCGAGACGTCATCAGGGTGGAAACTTAAATAACTCTTGGTGCGCACACAGGCCTGAGGTCGGGTTTCAAGATCATCTCAACTGTTGCGTCTCCTGCCACGTCGCGTCCCAGCACCCTAAATACCATCTCGAAACCGGTAGCAAAGCATGGAAGAGGGGCATCGGCAACCTTTCTCAACAACATGAGGGGCCAGTCGGGGGACTAAGCGCAATTCAACAACATCTAGTACGCTCACAGAGGTCGGCTTTCCCTCATCATCTCAGTGTCATTAGCACAATAGGCAAAGCGGGCGATCAGGCGTGAAGCCAAAGAGGAGCAAGAGGAACGAAGAGGCGGATAGTGCCGAGGCTGAACTAATTGGGACGTCTTGGCGCTACAAGCACCCCATTGGTCGGTGGAGCAGATGCCGTAGACTAGTCCATTTCCAGTCGCCTGTAAATACACGACAAACACTTCCAGACTCTCCAGCATCAGCGAACTGCATCATACCCTAATCATCTCTTTGCTGAAGATACTGTTCGAAAATGGACGCAGAATTATCTTGTATGAACATTGCCGAAATTTCACAATCCATCCAAACCACCCAACTCGAACTTGCCTACGAGCGCGCCCTGAGAGACGCAGATCGCATCTACGAAGAAGAACGAGTACGAGGGATGCGCGTACAGCTGCTGTTGCTGGAACACGAAAATGATGGGCTCCAAGAAGAGGCAGAGAGCGGCGAGGATCAGCAACACCATTTGCGTGAAACAAATGAGGAGTTACAAGGGCGTCTCGCCGAAGTTGAGGCAGACCTGCAACAAACACAGATGGATCTCAAGGCGCGCCTACGCGATCTAGAATACTTAAGAACAGAAGTCAACGCTTTGAGTGCTGCGAGCAGTGACGCAAGCAAACTCCTTGCGGAGAAGCTAGCGTTGTCAAGGGAGTTAAACACGCTCAAACCGGAACTTGAGCACCTGAGAACCCAAAGCTCGTCGTACCAGAAGCTGCTTTCCGAAAAGCTGGCCCTACAGCGGGAATTAAGCTCCCTCCAAGTTGAGCTCGAGACCGAGAAACGAGCAGTTCAAAGACTGAAAGCACAGGAAAAGTCATCCAATCGTGAAGACTCGGGGCTAGCAGAAGAGATCGATAGCTTGAGAAAAGAGGTTGCAAAATTACAACGGGATGCACAAAAAGCCGACCGGGAGAGTAGAAAGAGAACAACCGAATGGGAAAACGAGAAGGAGGTTTTGGAAGGGAAACTGGATGCTTTCCGCAACAAAGTCCGATCAACAAAAGAACAACTCAAGGATGCTCAAGTAGAAATTGAGAGGTTACAGGCTGCGCAGATGGCACAATCTACTGAGATGACCAAAGCAAGACTTAATGGGGCAGCCTCCACGGCCAATGCTAGGAAGAGAAATGTTGCTAGGTTCGATCCAGACATGACCATTGGCACGCCGGGAAATGGCGGTCCTGCGGCGAAGAAGCCTCGAATTTCAGTCAATGTCGGGGACAAATCAAATTTTTCCATCACGCCGTTCCTGAACCGCACTCTGAGCATCTTGCCAGAAACACCGCCTGAGGAGGAAGGTGGGCGGCAAAAGGAACAGAACACGAATGCCACTCACCAGGTGGACGGGCTAGACGAGGACGAGGATGTGGCACCCAAGGCCCAACCGATGAAGAAAAAACAGCCCACCGCAAAAAGATCAACTGCACCAGCAGTCAAGCGGAAAGGCGCCCAACCTCTTAAAGAAACCACCAATTCAAAAGCAAACGGCATAGTCAAAACGTCGCGACCTGACAAAATCATCGAAGAGGAGTCGGATATGGAGAGCGATCAAGGAGACATGGCCGCTACTGAAGCCCAGAAGACCTGCAAAGAAGACACAGAGCAAACACGGAATGCTGACCCCACAGCTGAGGAGGCAACACAGTCAGAGCCACCTAGAAAGCAAAAGGCAGTGGCCAGACGAGCCAACATCTTCGATGAAGAAGACAGTGCGCCTGCACCCAAGATCAGGAGTCTGGCAGGTGGGCTGGCTGGGAAGGGAGGCGTATTTGGGCGCATCAATAATCTTAAGGCAAAGACTGTGGGCAAAGGGAAAACACTAGCTGAGTTCTCGCCTCTTAAGAGGGACCGGAGGGCTGTTAGTGTGATTGAGTGATGATGGGAAGTGGAGGTCCCAACGCATGGGCCACCGATGAGTTTGGGTTCACATGTATGACCGCCAGATGCATTCAGGATGGACTGTTGTCAAAATTCGTCGCTGCTTGTAGAACACAGAATTATGGAGTATTTAATGGCAAGATAAATGGCAGAGGTCGCGCAAGAGCGGCAATGGCCAATTGCCTATCTGCGGAAGTCATGTGCCGCCGCTTTATGGGTCAATGACATCCACTGACTTCTATGAGGTACAGTGAATCGCGGAGCAAAAGTCATGGACACTCTACCAAATTGAATCTTTGCAACTTCCCTCGTTTCGCGACGCTCCTATATTCTCTTGTCGAGTGCTCTTCAGCCTCGCTAGAGCGTGCTATGCGATCATGTAACCCACGTCTTCCTCTTCGCTCTTCGATTTGCGCACTCACAACCATCAAAACAAACCCTCCCTGCAACCTTCCCCACCGCCCGAGCGCACTTGCTCTTCGCCAACGACCAACACCATGTCCCCCCTCGCAAAGCTCTATCTCATTGCGTGCTGGTCCTATATCATCTCCTTCAACGTCACCTTCACCCTTGTCAACCTGGACCTGCATGAAAGGGGTGCGGTTCTCGTCCTCGAGCACGAGGCGTTGGACTGATCGGCAGCGAGGTGATCAGTTTGCTCGAGCAGCAAAGGTTCAGGGACTAAAGAGTCGGGCGGCTTTCAAGCTGTTGCAGATCAATGAACGGTACAGACTTTTTAAGCCTGGGATGACTGTGGTGGATTTGGGGTTTGCGCCCGGAAGTTGGAGTCAGGTAAGAAGCCATTCGTGACGAATCCAAGGTGTCACGATTGGAGATTAGAGAGCACGAAACGGATGATCTTAGGGTCTGGCGCTGATACATGTCTCCTCCTTGATGTAGGTCGCCATCGACCTAACGAAACCTCGTGGCCGAGTTCTAGGTGTTGACCTTCTGCCCGTCCAACCCCCAAAGGGCGTGTCAACAATCCAAGGCGACTTCCTGTCCCCGGACATTCAAGCCGAGATAAAGTCCTTTCTCCGAAACCCTGACCGGGGCCGTCTGCGACGTCCGCTCATGCTAGGCTCTTCCGAGACTTCAGAGGCCGGATTGGAGCAGGCGCTGCTCGAGGATGAGGCAACAGGCTATCTCGATCGCGAGAGTCACGAGAAGACGGTCGAGGAAGAGCAAGACCGAGAACATCTCGACAAATGCGTCGAAGTGGTATTGAGCGACATGTCTGAACCCTGGGACCCGCTTGACGGGCTTTACAAAAAGAGCATCAGTAACCCGTATCGCAGGTTGATGAATACGAGTGGAAATGCCTTCCGCGATCATGCCGGGAGTATGGTATGTCCACCAGAATCTTGACCTCAATCAATGCCTTCCTTCTCTTGTTTCGGATCTTCACACCTACGCATTTCATCCAATGGAAGATTACTCAACTGACGATCTTTGGGATATGAGTAGGATCTCTGCAGAGCAGCGCTGCGATTCAGCTACGACACGCTCAAAGTCGGGGGGCACTTTGTGTGCAAATTCTACCAAGGGGCCGAAGACAAGGCGTTGGAGAGGAGCCTGAAAGCCATGTTCCACAAGGTTCACCGCGAAAAACCCGAGAGTTCGAGGAGTGAATCTCGCGAGGCCTATTTCGTGGGCATCAAGCGGCTGGCCAAGGTTGATCGGGATGCGGTGTTTGCCGAGCCCTGAGACGGGACTTGTGCTCATTTAGAGTCGGGGGGTAGAAGAGGAAAAGGAGAAACTAAAAGAGGTATACGTGATGACTATAACTATATAAGCGGTGATGGAAGGCTGCTACCATCGCCTCATGTTTGAACCTCTAGCGCCGGCCGTAAAGAAGTGGGCACTGGGGCAAGCGGTGTACCAAGCTCTTTCTGCACTACTAGCCAGCTAGCAAGCAGGCAAGCCACTAAATCAATTCCCCCTCCTCATCCTCGACGCCTTCATCTTCCTCGCTGAACTCGATATCCCTCGCAGCCTCCTCAGCCAGTCTCTGCACCTCCTTCAGCCCACTGATCTCCTCGACGAAGCCCTTCTCGTTCAGTGCGCGCTGGACAAACCCCCACCCGCCGGCCTCGTACGCGTCGAGGACCTTGTCCGAGCAGGCGCTGCAGTGTTTATACGCCGTGCCCGTGATGGCCATGTTGGAGAAGGTGGCCAGGAAGCCGCGGATCGTGTGCGGGACGAGGCCGAGCGGGTGGTCGTGGTTTTGGTCGCCGCCCCTGTCGCCGGTCCGGTCGGCGGAGGAGAGGGAGGCCGGGGCGGCGGCACCGCGAGGGTGCTGCAGGACGGAAACGAAGAGCTCGGCGAGCAGGGCGGACGCGATGGCCGCCACGCCCGGCCGCGTCACCGTGCACTGCTGGTCGAGGGTCAGGTCTTTCATCGAGTCTGCGGGTGCGACGACGTCGTTGCAGAAGTAGCAGCCCAGCTCGCCCTTCCCTTGTCCCTGGTTCTGGGTCTGTTTCTCGGCCTCCTCTCTCTGCGTGCCCGGCAGGGGGGGTTCAGGCCTGACGCCGTGTCTCATGACCACGTATGTGTCAAACCCCAGCGCCGCGTTCATGACGATCTTGCCCTTTGCTTTCCCCATGACGGTCGGCAACCACCTCGACTCTCTCGTGTCCATCAGCAGGAAAATCACGTCGTGGTCATCCACCAGTGCTTCCAACGTGTCATATTCCGCCTTCGTCTTCTCGGGATCCGTAATCGGGTGTCCCGCCATGGGCACGCTCAACACATACCCTTTGGACTGGACGCCGGGGTATACCGTCTTCAACGCCTCCGCAGCGGCAGTGGCCTTCTTCTTTCCGCCCTCGAGACAGTCCTGAAATGTGAAGAGTGGCTGTCTGACGGGGTTGGAAAACGAGACGCTCCCGTTGTCCACGAACGTGATGTGCCGGACTCCCCACCCCATCAGGTTTCTTGACACATAAGACCCGAGCGTCCCGGCGCCGAGGAGGAGGCATTTCGTCTCCTTGATCTTCTCGAGGTTCAGGTTCGGCGATATCCGCCATTTCATGAGTTTCAAATTCAGGTCGACGGACGAGTCGGCCAGTTTGGTCGGGTCCATGTATTCGGTGAGGTCGGCCATGCGACCGGTGAGCTTGTTCAGGGCGTTGCGTTCCCAGCCTACGACTTTGGGCATGGTCTGCGAATAGTCTGGTGGTCGGGCAGCGTCTCCTGCATTGCTACTCTGTTTAGACGGTTGTTTGGATATTTCCATGTTGAAGATGACGCTCCGCGCGGCGTCTCGACGCATTTGCGTCTCGCGATAGCAGAGGACTTGTACTTTGTCGAGTTTCCACCGTTGCCGGACCAGAACGAGGAGATTTCGCAGCATCCATCCCGGCGCCACCGGGCCCGGCTCGGCGTAGTTGGAAGGGTCGGCGAAAGCGACGAAAGAGTCTTCCGGATCTCCGCCATCAAAGAACCCCGTGTCGAAGCCCGATAATGAGGATACTTGCCAGGTGAAGCCGAGACTTGCCGTAGGAGTAGGTGGCGACTGCGGAGAAGTGGGACCGAATTCCTCCTCGCCGCCGCCGCCATTGTTGGAATTGTGACCAAAAGAAGCGTCGCGCACCTTTTTGACGAGGAAGAATCCATGCTGTCTCGGGTCCACGGCGTATTTCCAGGTCTGTACACGATCCACCAAGGTCGTGCTCTCGATCGAGGTCAGTTTCCTGTAAGAGATATCCGTCTCTGGACTTGCGAGACTTCCACCACTGGTCATCGGCACCCAGGGCGGATCCATGACCAGGGCCGGAAACGCAAACCAGTAGTTGAACTTGTATTTCTTCAGGTCTGCGAAGCTGAGGACCAAGAAGGAGGCCAGGAGACTGGGACACGAGTAGATGGTGCCGTCGTTGATGGCATCCCAAATCGTCTTCCCGGCCTGTTGGATCATGGCCAACTTGTCGATGTTGCGATACTCCTCGATCGTGTTGACGTTCTTGATCATGCCCTCTGCACGATAAGAGCCGGCCGGCACTTCATCATTGGTCAGGGCATTGGCGTGGATCTGCATGCGGCAGGAATGCTCCTTGTTGTCGGCGGGACGGATTTCGTAGAGGCCCAACAATTTCCGGGCCGAGTCGTCCAGCTTGTCATGGTTGATTTTGTGCGACGCCAGTGAGGCGTAGAACGGGATTTCGATATCGGAGGCAAAAGGCACGTACTGCATTGTCCAGGCCGGTTTGCGACGACCCTAGTCAGGCCGAAGAGGATTGTTCTGATGGACCTGATCAGACACGAATAGAATCCCGATACCCCGGATTGATAAGACGGTGTTTTGCGTAGACGGAAGAGATTTGCTGTTCCAGCCAACAGTAAGAATAAAATAATGATGATGACAATGGTAGAGCCGTGGTCGAGGTCAGAACTGACTGGGATGATCTAGGCTCGAACATGTGGTAGTGGAGCGAAAGTGGCTGGGAGGCGGCCAGGCGGCCGGCTGCAGCCTCGGGGCAGAATACTGGGTACATTTCCCGTCAGTGCGCCTGCCGCTTTAATGACATGTGCCCCTTTCAGTTAGACTAAAACCCTATTCCTAGTCAGTCACTTCGACGCGTCGGGTGCATGACCACTTTACGCGTGTCTCGATCGAGAAAAGGCGTCACGGTCAACCACATCAGCGGACAGCAAATCAAGCAGGTTTATTCAGCAAACGTCAGGGGAGAGGGCCTTCTGATCATCCCACCTTAAGAAGAAATATCGGACAATTTATCAGGCACCCACACGACCCGCAAAGTCAGAGATCCGGGGGGGGGTTTGGAGGAATATCAAACACCACAGCCTTGCGTCCAGCTCTTCTCCAGGTTGTTTTGCTGCAATGCTAATCGGCATCTGCGGCTCCATCTGCTCAGGCAAACACACCACAGCCGAATACTTAGTCCAGCACCACGGCTTCCTCCGCCTCCATCTCCCCACGCCCGCACAGTTCCAACCATCATCCCTGCCGTCGCCATGGCCATGGACATCATTGCCACCTTCAGATTGCTCGCCGGACTACCTCCGCCTCCTGCCCAGCGTCACCGACCAAATCGGCACGCGCGGCCTCTCCTTCCCCGACGTCGATTCGCTCTTGGACTTCGTCACCAAACGATGGCGCGAGCACTGGGTTCTGACGGACATCTATGATGAAGCGACCCTGGAAATCCTTTTGAGGAGGCCGTTCTTTCTGCTGGTGAACGTGGATGCACCGGTTGGGACCCGGTTCGAGAGGTTTAATGAGCGGTATGTCTGTCTGTGTCGCATCTGTCCGTCCGTCTCGTCTGGCTTTCTCGCAGCTCAGACCTTTCCTTTCCTTTCTACCTTCTCGTTTGAATCTTTTCCTGGTTTATGACGGTCGAGCCACGAGCAATAATCAGCGGCAAAAATTCCGCCTTTTCTCTTCTCTTCTATTCTTCTCTTACGTTCTCTTCTCCCCGACCAGCAAGAGACAAAGACGGAGACGACGTTAACAGACCGTGAACTGACCATCTTGGCGTCTGTGTTTCGTGACACGCAGGTGTCAAAAACGCAAGCTCACACCCATGTCCCTGGCCGACTTTGTCTTCTACAATGACCTCAAACTTTACGGGCCTCGCGCCGGGCCTGATTCATTCTCCTCCTCTGCCGCCGACTCTCAGCGCTCCGCGGCAACGACAAACGCCGCTGTCGAGGATGATCCGACTCCGAACCATTCCTCGCCGCGAACGGCGCTCCTCCCGCTCCTGTCCCACGCGCACCTGTCCATCCTCAACTCCTTCCCCAGCATCTCTGCGTAGTAAGCATTAGTCCTCCCCGTCCCCTTCCCTTTCTTATACCAAATAAAAAGACCAACCCGAGAAAAATTATGTGCGGCACATCCCGCCCATTTATCCAAACAGGCTCGGTCACATCCCCACCCTCGCCTAATTTCTACGTCTCTCTCTCCAATCTACTCCCCATCTCGAATGGCAGAGCAAAACAGAGTAACTAACGATTCCACCTCGCTGGGTCGATCAACAGCCACGCCTTCCTGGCAACGCTCGACCTGCCATCCCCGCTCCGCCTACGGCCGACGTGGGACGCATACTTCATGACGCTGGCCCACCTGGCGTCACACCGATCGAACTGCATGAAGCGGCGCGTGGGGTGCGTGCTCGTGCACAACGCCCGCATCATCAGCACGGGCTACAACGGCACGCCCAGGGGTCTTGTGAACTGCAACGAAGGAGGGTGTCCGCGGTGCAACGGCTCGGGAAACTCGGGCGGCGTCGCCCTAAGCACCTGCCTGTGCCTGCACGCCGAGGAGAACGCGCTGCTCGAGGCCGGTCGCGAGCGTATCAGGGAAGGCGCCGTGCTTTACTGCGACACATGCCCGTGCTTGACTTGCTCGGTCAAGATCGCCCAGGTCGGCGTCAAGGAGGTCGTCTACAGCCAGACCTATAACATGGACGAGGCCAGTCGGAAAGTTTTGCGCGAGGCTGGGGTCGTGCTGAGGCAGTTCGTGCCCAAGAGGAGCGGACTTGTCGGCTTTGACCTGGCCGGAACGGATGAGTTGGGCAATGACCTGGGCGGAAACGAAAGGAGGGACGGAAGAGAGATGGTCGTTTTGAATGGCAAAAGGCCGTGAAAGAGCAGCCAGCGAAAAGTATATGAGTGTGCAAATATATATATGGCTGAAATTAACACGAATGGGTATCAAATTATTACCTACTTGAAACGGCTGGACAATATCAAATCACAATAGTGCACGGAAGATCGCCTATTGAAAACTCACAGCAATCTCCCTACTTTCCCCCATACTTCTTCTCTTCCGGCGAATTCAAACTGGGCCCAGCATGAGACGCTCCAGCTGGAGAAGGGGTGGCAGCAGATGTGGCGCTCATTGGCTGTGCACTCTTAGGTGTTGCCGCACTTGTTGGTCCGCTAGTTACACCCTGCGTCTGATTCTCTTCCATCCTAGTGGTGATGGGGGTGATATTGCGGGACTCTACCGGGCTAGTGGGCAAGCTGTTGGACGAATTAGCAAAGCTAGCAATGATTGAGTGCCATTGCTGTGCGTCCGAGTTGGTATGCGCCTTGAACTGGAAGTCGGAGGTGAGAGCCATCTTCTGCCCCAGTTTGCTGCCTGATGAGTCTTTGCCTTTGATGGTGAATTTCAGCCCATCCACAGCTCCGATGATGCAATCGGGGAGGTAGAGGGAGACCTCGGGACTGGGATCCTTGTGAAAGTTATCGTTGTCTTTGTACTCGTGCAAGTAGCCGGCCGGGGTGACAGCATAGTATCCACTGCTGTAGCCCTTGAGGGCACCCATCCCCCGAGATTTGCGCTCAAGAGTACCTTCAACGAGCGGTTTGGTCGACCGATGCTTTTCGTTTGGGAAAGATACGCCTTCCATAGTCCGTGGCGGTGCGTTCGGGTTGACCAGGATATGCTGATTGCGTTTGGTAAAGCCATTCCATTCAAAGTCCAGCGGAATGTTGCTCGCAGTGGATGCGATATCGCCGAACATGGCTTTCTGCCGATCTGCCTGGCCGCTCATGAATTGGTTGTAGGAGTTCAAGGCTGTCTGCACGGTTTGCACGACGTGCGACTCGAAGTTGGCGAAGGAGTTCTGAACCGCAATTAGATCTTGTCTATTACTGTTCTCTTCGAGCAGTTGCTTGTTGAGACGGTAGAGAGTTCCCCTCTTGACTACGTAGGGATCATGATGCGCCGACACTTTTCCTCCGGTCGAGTCGAAATGAGCGGCCTGTTGCCCCAGCAGTTCAATGTGCTTCTGCGATTGAGTGCGCGCCGCCTCAACCGCCTTTGTACCTTTCCCAGTGGCCCCGGAGATTTCTTTGTTCTTGTTCTTGATCTCAGCGTGCAAACGTTCGAGGATGGGAAGCACTGATCCAGTGAGGTTCTTGGAAGTCTCGGTGTACAGATTGATTTGGCCCTGGGTGTTGGCGCGCAGGTTTTCGAACAGACCAGCTATGCCACCCAAAGCGGAGTCGAAGTGGTGAGCCTCACGAAGAGGGCTCGACAGTGTCTTGATGACTTTCTCTTGGTCTTTGGCGCGTCCAGCCTGCTCCTTTGAAACGGCGGAGATGTAGTTCTCGAGATAGCCACACATGTGTTTCCAGGCCTGCAGCCGCTCGATCAAGAGACCGGCGGTGCTGGAAGGATCTCCCTCGGTCACGACGTCATCATCGGAATCGTTAGCGGTCTTGACCCTCGTGGGCAGCGGAGGAGCGGCCATGACGGAGCAATAGTCGGGGGGAGGAGTATTGTACTACGATACTGCCATGACAGTTAGAATGATGGGGGGTTATTGAGTGTGCTCGATGGAATGCTAACGCAGAGATATCGACCCGTTCAATTGCAGTGGTGTTGATGTTGAGGGCCAGAGGGGAGGTTGTCTGACTGGGACTGCGACTGCGCTGAGAGCTTAAGAGCTGAGCTGAGGGTTGAGAGGTGAGGCGTAGCTGCCGAGCTCAATTGATAGCTCCCTCAGCAGGTCAACTTGGAGTCCGCGCAAGACAGAACAGATGCCAATATGATGGCTGAATGGATCACAGGTGCAATGACGCTACTATCAGTTGCTCGCAGGATGAAGGATGAAGCTGATCGACTATGGCTGTGGCATCCAAACTGCATCTGTTGTTCCCCATTGTGACGCGATCATGTTCGGCTGCCACTTTTTGGTACGCCACTAACGCGACGTCATTGATCGACGCGTCCCACTCTAGCTCCAGCGACACCGAGACAGCTGCACAGATTCTACATACCAGGATACATACACGATTATGTCATGTTGTCCTTGGTTGTGCAGGCCACCACCAATCTAGTAGCAGTGTCAACAGTGTACAGCAGTGCAACACAAAATTTATTGCTTATGTAAGTAACTATTACTTGAGTTACGTAAGCACTTACTTAAACAATATACTATACCTAATTCAGTAGATAGAAGCGAGTTTCTGAAAGGAAGAGTTAAGCAAAGTCAGTGTCACGACCTGGCCCTCAAGGAAGCCATGTGCAACCACAGAGCCACAGACAAAAGGAAGATAACGAGGGTTACAGTAACATGTTGGGCCTCCAGGTCGGGCGATCGACAACCTCGGGAGGTTCCTTGGTTCCTACCCCTCTGGGCATCCCCGTCTGTTGAAAGTCAATGATCTTGGCGTCGCCGTCTTTGTCGATGACGGGATTGGAAATGGTAAAGCCGGCGTGGATGAATCCTTCTGCGTGAACGTCGACAACGGCCATGGATGGCATCCTCCGCCCCATCGACAGCGATCTCCCAGGCAGTGCCGCCGCCAAGCAGATCTGCCATCGCGCCCTGATCGAGGAACCTTAGCAGAATTCCTGCCCAACAGCCAGCGGCGGCAGATTGATATCCCAGTCTTCGTCTGCCCTCGCTACTCGCCCTACAATGCACTTCATCCTGGTCAGTGTGTCGGCCTTTGGCCAGGCTCCCCTGTCTCTGTGCGCCACGGTCAAATGCTCCATGAAAGTGTCCACGCTGTCAAACATGGGCACGCCTCCTGATGCAAATTTGCCAGGCACGCCCATAGCACTGACCATTGCGCAGCAAAAAATGCAGGCGAACATCCTGAAGCCTAGGTTTTTCTGTACCATGGATGTGGCGTTGGATGGTCGAACGTGACATTTCGCTAGAAACGCCCATTTGTACCTCACCCCGCAGCGACTCTCTCTGACTGTTGTCTCAAAGCTCTCCTCCGTCTCACCTGCATTCCCACCGAGCTTCGAGCGTAGGGGGACGAGCACTTGATAGTTACATCCACTGCATTCGAAGCAACGGCTGGTGCCCACGAAACCTAAGGGGCGTATGAAAATGGAAAAGGCGCGTTTTTGATCCCTTTCGTTGGTGGAAAGGAGCCGGACCGCCCCTTTACAGAAACAGCCAGGGAACGCTTCTGTGGGAAAGTCTGTTGGCTTGAGCGTATGAGCTAGCTGCTCAATCTCTGTTTCATTCGCCAGGCCTGATAGCAAGTCTTTGATCGCTCGATCGCTATCATCCCCCTCGATGCTGTTTTCTCGATCCTCCTGTCAAAACATATGGAACATCCGTCAATTTAGCCAACGATCCTGTGCCGGGGTGGGAATGGGAGACACTGTGACCTGAAACCACTTACCATTCTTCTCGACTGCAGGACTCTACTGTTTAACCGGTTTTTGAACCAGCTGCTCTTGACCAATAGCGGTTCCTGCGCAGTTGCCAGTTGTGGAGGCCTGCTCGTCACCGGCTGGCTTTCAGTGTTCGTTCCTGAGCTTTCACGGTCCTGGTTTCGTGAAAGCATGGGCCTTGATTGAGGGTTTTCTGATTCGACCTTATCCTGTTCGTCTCTGATTGTCGAGTTCGATGTCGCTCTGTTAACGGCCAAATCCTGACAACTCTGTTGTGTGGTTCCTGACCGAACGACGGCCTCGAAAGAGGCATCTGGCTGCTGGGCTTCAAATTCTTCCTGTGTCTCCGCTGTCTGCCTCCAGTATTGAGCCTAAAAGAAGCTCAGTAAACCATTCATTCACAGTAATTGGCACCACGCTCACCACTTCATGCTGTCTCAACGCTGTAAAGAGTTCTAGGAGGCGCTTGTCGCCGTGTTTCTTGCGCAGGTGGGTCCATTCGTCCCAGTGCACCTTGAGTACTGCTTTTTGCACTCTGTCTCGTTGACCGTAGTCTATCCTGTACTTGACAACCCCGATCTCCTGTAATATTTTACCAATGAGCAGACAGTGGTCAGCAAGTTGTGTGTGATTGTCGATGGCCAGTGGCAGGTCAACGGCGAGCCCACTAGTTGCTGCATCGTCATTGCTGGCAGCTGAGGTAGCCTGTGTGTTTGCTTGCAACAAGTTGCAGGAAGCGCTATCCTGCTCACCAACTCCGCAGGTGTCTGGGTCTGACTGCGCCCCTTCTGGGCCCTTGGAGGCTTCTACAGCCTGGAGAACTCGTTTGTAATTTTGTTCGCTCGTGTCTTTTTCTTTGATTAATGTGCGCAACAGTTCGTGTTGATCTTTCAAGATTTCACTGTCTTTCTGACTGAAGTCCCTTTCTGTCAGAGAATAATCTGTCGAGATTGCGCTAGGTCACCGAGATCGGCCACGCATACCTTCTAAGTTGCTCGGCCAAGATCAGCACATTGAGTATAACGAGCAGTGAAGTCTTCAGTCTCTCGAGGTTGGATCGCAGCAGCTCAATCTGAGGCTCAAGAAAGGGAAAGCGGAGCCGCTTCTTGAACTCGGCGATCAGCTTGTGGCCGCTCTCGCCACCGTCGATGGCTTCATTGAGCTCTGTGAACAGCTTGTTGCAGCTCTCGACCAAGTTTTCCGTCGTCGCAAGCGCGGCAGGCGAGCGCAGCCTCAAATTGTCTTCCTTGCGCAGCTCATTCCCAAGTTGGGCCAGGACGGCGCCCGTGGCAGCGATATCTTGAGAGATACTGTCAATGCTCTGGTGGGCGTTTTTGATCTTCCGCGAGAAAGTGAAAAGCCTGACGGACAGCTTTCCGCCCAGCTCGGCAATCTGAATCACGCTGGCGGCAAGGCCGACAATCTCGAGACCGGACATTGGTGGGTTAACCACCTTACATGTGGTCCGCCATCACTACTCAAGTGGGCACCGAGCAGAAATATTGGAAACACTGGTATATTCAACGGCCCGGCAGACAACGTTAAGGCGGTGTGCGTGAAATGGCAGGGACCAGGGACCATTGTTGTACAAATCCTTGGCGGAAACTTCGACTTATTCCTCTCACCAACACCCTCACTGTTATCTGCAGCTCTTCTGGGTAGGCCAAGATCACATGGGCCGCTCGAACCGCTGAAGGGCTCCCTGTCTACCTGTCAGCCTTATGGTAGGCGCCTCGACTAAATTCCCATCTGCAATACATACCGCGTTGGCATCCACATCACTACTTGGTGGCTTCGAGACACAATGTCGTGTTTAGCCGCAAGGACAGCAAAGCCCACACAAGCAAGCGAGATGCCCCAGCCCAAAGCTTCCAACCAAATGTAGGAATGGGAATTCTCATATGGGCCATACGGAAATGAATCCTGTGTCGACTGTCAGCTCCCTTGGCTTCGTTGAGACGGTTCCGTCACTCCTTTTTCCCATTCTTGTGTCGAAGGTAGTGGAGCTGGTGAGGCAGCAAGGTGGGCTGGTGCCCCTGTGGAGGATGCTGCGCTTCTTGTTAGAATCCGATCGAGAGGAGGGCAATTTAAGTCGAGATCTCCCCTCTGATATGTTGGTAAGTTGGCTTCGACATGATGGATTACCTTGATCTGTAATATCTAGCCTGCTGCTCCACTTCCTGGACCTACTCGACGTGCCTAGCAGCCGGGATTCTGTCACTCAGCCTCTGATTTATGGCAGCAGTTGGGGACGACTGCATCTTTGAATTTCCACTTTAATGTTTCCCTTCATGATATCCATTTGCTGTGTTGAGTCTGGTCAACGACTGATTCCAAGGTAGGTGCATTGTGGCGACACTCTGCGTGGTCGCAATATATATCTCGTCTCGATCATTTCGCGGGATGGACTTGGGCCCTGCTGAAGCCGCTACCGGGATATTGGGAACTTCGTACCGTTGCCCTGGAGCTAACAGAGCGGCCAGTACAATCCAGCAAAGGACATGTGGGGAGCTATAACATCCAAAACCATAGTCCAATTTCCCGTCAAGGCTGAGGTGCAAGTAGAGTCGACTGCCACAGCGTTTCTCCTGATCTCCTCCGGCCAGCATCCCAAACGCCCCGGCTAGGGTTGGGTTCAAGATAGGCTACGAGTGCGACGAAGACACTGGCGCAGTTCTTGTCGCTAAATGCGAGATGATGCACGACCAAACTGCTCCCTTGAGTTCCACACAAGCGTAAAGCTGGTTCGTGTCTGACGCCGAGATGATCCTGCAAAAATACGAAACGACCCAGAAGAAGGGCATCTTTGTGGTCACCAAAACCCTATATTGTCAAACAGCGCGCCGTAACTCTGTTGAGATCTAAGGAAGCATCGGTTTCGTTCGGAGGGGATATCGACCCTAGCCAGAATTGGCAAGATTGCACCAGAGATCGGCTAGTGGACAAGCCAGAACGAAGAGGTGTGGGAGCTGCTCCAGGACGCAAGTCGTCAGGCACCACCATCAACGGTCCATCCTCCAGCTTCTTCCAACTCTGAGAACATCGGGATGATGGTGCTGTTGTATTCATGACTGGGTGGTACTGGCGTCCAAAACTGCTTCAGAAAAAGGTCAAACACAGCGAAGAAAAGCCCAAACAGAAGAAATGCTTGGGAGAGAGTGACAAGCGGGGGCTCTCTGGAATATCACTTTACTCGTGACAACGAGCATCTGGAAATCGTCACTTTGACTCCTCAGAAGATGCGAACCTTTGGCGAAGAGTGAAAGAGTCAAACTCTGACTTTCACACATATGGGCATTGTGACAACTGTCAGCCTTCAAATAGTCAAAGATACTATCTGAGACAAAACACTAATTTAGAGGATAGTTGAGTGATAAGGAACACAATTGGAAGTCGCCCTGCAGTCAGGGATACCAAGGAGACATCCAGAACATGTCGACTTCATCCGATCTGCGCGTACACCGGAACCTCTGCGGAGCCAGCCACATGGTGAGAAAAGTGGCCTTGATAACTGCGCAGAGGGAGTGCATATGGGATCCACCGTCCTGGCCTTTACCTTCTTGGGCGATGTTGGCGGGCGGGACTCTTGCCTCGAGCTTGTGGATCGACGGTCAGATCATGGTTGCGACATTGTTCGTCCCTCAGGAAAACGTGAAACGTACCCAGGTAAGGCCGTATTCTGGAAGCACTCAGTTCCCCTACGCCGATCCAAGGGCCCCGATGGGCAACATCTTCACCAGATATGGGCCTGACATTCGAGGTGACTTCAATGGAACCATCTGTCATTGTGCATGGAATGCGGCCAAACACTTCGTATCGGTTCTAGAGGCAGCCTCCCAAGCAAAGCTATCTCTAGCAATGCCGACCATTACAGCGCTCAACAGACGCATCCTCCAGCATTGCCATTTCCATTCCCGACAAAGACAATAAGAACGGCCGCAAAGGCTGCCGTCGCCACAAAAGTCTCTATCTTCTTGGCCGGCGTGATCAATGCGATAATAACGCTAAAGAGGAACGTGAAGCCCACGATCGCTCCCATCCTGGCGCCTTCCCGCCGGATGAAATAGAGGGCAAGTGAGCAGAGCGCCGGAATCATCGAAGACAGCACCGTGCTGCAGATGTTCACGGCCAGGATAATCAGTCTGTCCGAGTAATAATAGATGGGCGTCTGCTGTCTCATATCGGTGAACGCATCAGCAACGTAGGTTGGTGACCTGTATCTGTACCCTATGGTGTTGTGGTACCATGGAAGGACGCGAGTTTGGAGAAAATACGTCAAGGGATCTCTACTCTCGCTCGGCAGAGCTATCGAGGTCAGATCCCCTGCATTCTCTTCGTCCCAGACGACAGCTTCAGCCCCACGGAGGGAACCATCACCACCTTCGAGGTCGGAGTTCCAAGTACGGAGTTGCTTGTGGTGTAAGCGATCGACAGAGGGTAGTTGGGAAAGGGCGCGGTAACGGAGCAGCGCTTTGCCTTTTGTGTTTGGCTACTGTTCAGTAAAGGATATGTCTGACACGAGGGATTGAGTTACTGCGCACTGTATTTCTTGAGAGCTGCTTCAAGTCGGTCCCAAAGAGCCTTTTGCAGCGAGGACTGAGGTTCTTTTTCAGAGGAAGACTGAGTTTGGCGGCTGGGAAAATGAGAAAACAGCTTCTCAGTGTTTCCGGATCTTCCCTTCAACTCGAGTTCGGCGGCGCCTAGCCCCTGGCGCAGGTGCGCGATCTCAGCTTGCAGAAGGTTCAGCTGGAGCGCTTGTAGAGGCAGATAGAGGCGGAAGATGGCGTACTCTGGCTGGCTGGCCTGCATTGACGACAGACGAGTGTAAGCATCCATTTCAAACAGGGACCAGCTATCATCCTAAGATGGAGTGTTATTAGAGCCTCAAATGCCTCTTTTGACTTCCTTTGTAATGCTACAAGGTTAGCATCGACCTTTGATGTATGCGCTGGCAGTGGCTGCATGGGCGAAAGAGTATTGGGTAAGGCGAGCACATACATACCAGAAGCTGATGCCCAACATCGGCAACGACGCCTTCAGACGGTTGGCGCGAACACCTGCTCGCGCCTTTCCCGACAAGGCAGCCGCACATTCCTAGGAAGAAGGGAAGTGCCGCGATCCCGAATAGTGCTGAGCCATGCTATTAGCGAAAGTAACATCACCACAGCGATATGGATGTAGGGATTTGAGGGCGAGTTCCAATCATGTTCGGCAGAACATGCAGCCATCAGCCATCGTCCCTCGGCATCACGCTGAAACCACGGCCAGCTTGATCCCATCGTTCATCGGCGTGGGGGTGGTGGCTCAAGCTCTCGAACGATAAAGAGCCCGCGTTTCCGGGTTGCCGACAGGTCTTTTCCTTGCTCTTGCTTTGCTTTTGAATATGTGGCCAAAGGCTGTACCGGTCTGTTGACGGCCCTTTGAAAGGGTTTTGCGCTTTTCCAACGCGGTCGATGGTCGACGATACTTCAAATGACCTGTTTTCGTACTTGGTACTTCATTTCGCATACTACCTACGTCTTGCGGAGGCTAAAGATCCAATTTCGAGCGAGGAGACCTGGAATTTGAACCATGAATGAGATTGGTAGAATTTGCATCATAAGCTATAAGCGACCATTGTATATCCAGTGCAGCGCCGGTCGGAGGTGAGGTGACAAGTGAAGTATCCGCGTTGATTGTTTGTGTTGTGGAGCCTGCAATTGGTACTGTTAGTGCGTCTCTGACACCAAAATTGTAGACCCAACTGCCTGCGCAGTGTTTATGCGCACATCACGCCCATCGCATCTCTTGTTTGCAAGTCCTTACTGCTCTCCCCATTTCCGGGCTTTTTGAAACTTCGTGCTTGTTCTTGTCTGTGGGCTGTGGCCCTGTTCTTTGGGGTTTGGCTGCCATCCTTCACGCACCATCGCCCTATTGTTACCCAGTGCACCGACCGTCGTCTCCTCCCCCCCGGAGAGCCATCCAAGCATTCCACGTCCGTTTGAACCGCATCGTTCTTGAATCCGCCTTTCACTCATCATTCACAATTGCTCAGCCGCAACTTTCGAACCGCCGGCACTGCGTGGCCGATCATACCTTGTCGGACAGGTTAAGCCAGGAACATTTGGTGATCCAGAAGGGACGCCGCAGTCTGTTGAGAGCGACAAGTCCCTGGGAACACACCAAAACGGCGATCTGAACACTGGCCAGTGTAGCAAGCTCCGGTCCTCACAACGATCGCGGGCGAGATAGCCGACCAAAACGGCCAAAAGTAGTGAAATCAGCAGGACAAGAGGGCCATACAAAATTCCATCCAAGTCATCTTCCAAGATCAGGACTTCAGAAGGTGGAGGTTCGTGAATGGCTCTCCTTCAGCCTCAAAACAGAATTCCAATGCAAAGTGACCGGCAGGCAAGTTTGAGTGAAAACTCCGAGGATTGGAGCAGGCATGGGTCGAGCTCAACTCTGTCCGTGTCTACCATCGGCTCCAAGGATGAAAACACTTACATCTGGATTGTCATGGTTGAAGTCGACGGAAGACACAAATTACTGTGTAGAACACAGCTGGATACAGGCCTCCTCCCGAGTTTGATCAGCCTATGGGCTGCACATCGAGCAGAACAGTTAGGGTTGGCGACCATCGAACCTCGTAACTTGGACCCAATTGAAGGCCTTGTCAAGGGACCCAAGCTCTCCCTGCTGGGTGCGATTAGGCTGAAGTTCTTCATAGATGGTAAACCTTACAGGCACACCTTTTTTGTGGTGGATGACGATAGATACGATATGCTGCTGGGTGCCAAATTTGCGAACAAAAGTGGACTGGCTGAGAAGAGGACGGGTTCAGCCGACTCCTTGCCCGGTCATTTGTAAGGACATCACAAATGCTTGATATTCAAAGTGATGCATGGAGTCGCCTGAGATTGCCGCAGACAGTGCTGAGAGCTGGGTGATGAGTTGGCCGCCCGATGGCATCGGCGGTGCGGCTGGCTTGATCGGTGACCAGGGTGCACAGCTCTCTGAGAGGTCGAATTCAGAATATAGCGTTTGCATAGATGAGGCTGATATGAGTCCGTGTTGTCAACCGCTGCTCCGATGCCACCGTCATCCACCCTCTGAATGGGTGACACACTGAACGTTGCCTGAATATAGGCGAACTGGGACGAGGATGAACACCATCATCTTTACCCATCTCAGCAATTGGGCCGCCACTGCAGCTCTCTAGCCAATGCCCCCAGTCATGTGCTTGCTGAATGCCAGGGCAGCCTGTGTCCTGGTGTCCTTGACCCCGGCGATGGCGGCTGAGGGTGGTCTTGCACGCGAGGCTATCATGGGGCAACATTGCCATAGAGATGAGGGTATATATCGAGCCTTTCAGAAAAATACTTGGTGGGTTCTTTCATCATCCTGGCATTGACAGACACTGGAAAGACGGATAAAGGGGAAGCTGCTCAAAAAATGGGGGGCGAGACAACAACCGACAAAGGCCTCTGCGAGATCATTGTAGAGCGAGAGGACCAATATCCAGTAACAAAGCTTGCTAAAAAGGACTGGCAAACCCGAGAACACAGTGAAATTACTGAAGCCTGTGTCAAATCACTCGGCTTTTCCCTCTATGACCAAAATGGAGAGAAGCGGAAAACGTTGCGACTCGTTTGGGGACCGACCCAAAGGGCAAAGAGTCTCGAGGACGATTTCCTCATTGTTCCGACGGGTGACCACGAAATTGTTTTGGGCTTGGAGGCGTTTGACAGGTTGCATTCAGCCTGCAACCCAGGAAGCTATCCTGGATTCATGAAGAAAGGTACGTTGGACCTGCGTGTATCCGACCTTGTTGGTTCCTCACAAGAGCCACACTCGCTGACTACGTGCAGTGCCAAAGGAAATACTGGCGCGAAGAGAGAGCGAGAAGAAGATTCGGCATGAACAGGAGATAAAGGCCGAGGTGAAGGAATGGCGTGAGCTTCTGCAGAAAGATCAGTCGAGCCCGTCGACTCAGGCGACCCAGGCACCTGCGTCTCGCCTCTGAGGGGAGATGCATTGGGCCTGTCACCCGCTGACGTTGGGAGCAATCGGGTCGAGGGAATGTGGCCCTGTTGCGGCGGCATTGGTCAGGTGTGGCAGCCGGATCGAATGAGGCAATAGGAGTCGATGATCTGTGCCCTTTTATTTTCCGACTGACGGACGGTTATGATTTCCACAACAGCCACATTCCTTGTTACACGCTGAGGTGGCCAATAGCTTCTGCGGCCGTGCACCCTGCAGGGAATCGATGCTGGACCAGTTCGTTTCGGACCGGGTGTGGACCAAGGGTGTTTGCATGATGATTTAGAAGGCTTTCTTCGAATACAGGATTATTGTTGTCAAAACCTACAAAGCTTCCTCTGGAGACCTAGCGAGTATCCTTGGAACTTGACAGAGTAACTTATGACCGTACTTGGGACTATATGCTCCGTACTTAGTTAGCACGATACTTACAAAGGACTATTGACCCACTCACTCTGCCTTGTTGGACTCACCTTTCACCGACCATTCGCTACGTAGACGGAACAAGACGTAAGGCTGAATCCCCTGCCTCGGTCAACTACATCCACAAGCCAGTAGCTCAAGATCGTTACTGAAGTTATACCGGGCGGGAGCTCAGGATGTACAGGCTAACATGTTGTAAAGTTGTCAAGTTCGGTACGATTTCCGCTGCCTCGAGATGGAAAGATAGTAATAGACCATACATGAAAGTAAAAGAACACAACCAGACGTCGGCTAAGAAGCATCATCTCTCTGGGCCACAGAGCCTCATACTGAACACGCGATTTCACGATTCTGCTCTGCAGCCCTCTGCGCCCGGCGCCTTGCTAATAACACAGTCCCTCGTTCAAAAATGCTAACCAGACCGTCGCTCAAACATACCAACCAGACGCTCGCTTGTTCCAAAAGCCCGAAAACATCATTTCAACGCGGGCTGCTGCCTTTGGCATTCAGTCCACCTTGATATTTTTGAAGGTATCTAGTTCGCTGTCTGAACCCGGGATCAGTGGGCCAGGAGAAACGCCCTCGGCATTATAGGCTTCCTGTCCGCGAATCTTGCCCGTCTCGTCAACGTCCCGGATTCCGTAGTTCTGGAGCGAGTTGATAAAGTACGCGAATTCGAGGTCGTCCTCCGGCCTCCAGAACTGGCATCTGTCCGTCTCGACGTTGTACTCGTGCCAACCGGGCTTGATGATGCGGCGGTCTCCGTGGTCCCCCAACTCCTGCACCCAAGTCCCGACGTACGTGTCGTCCGAAAACCCTTTCTCCACTGGCACGTACCGCGACGGGTAGTCTTTGTATTTAGGGTCGTCGAGCTGGACCCATTCGCCGCAGCAGCTGTCGATGGACGGAGCCCTGCTCCAGCAATTGGGCTCTGTCGACTTGCCGAAGATCTTGTTGTTGCCTCTGTCGCAGAAGAGACGCCACTTGGCGAGGGCTGCGAGGGCGTCTCGTGGGCAGCTGTGTGTCGGCGTCGGCATGGTGTCGTAGTAGATCTTGACCACACTATCACATCCTTTCGCCCGGCATCCAATTGTGAGCTTGGAATATTGCGGCGATGTCTTTGAGGGTGGCTTTGAGGGTGGCTCGTCGGGAACGGTTGGTGTGGAGGAAGGCCCTTCGCCTAGTAGGTGGTCAAAGGCGTCATCAAGGATCTCCCCGATATCAACAGTCTGAGACGCATCGTCTGGTGGGCCATAGATATCACCATAGAGAGCGCCTGCTTCATCAGGGACGTCACGGATCGTTAGGCCGGAGATATCACCATGGAGAGCGCCTGCCTCAGCCTCACCAGGGATAACACCTACCACGCTAGGGACATTATTGACTGTCATTCCAACCATGGTCAACAGCGCTGATATCTGGCCTATGCCGTTGACGATGCTCGTGGCCAGCCCCTTATCGGGTTTCAACAGGTCGATGGAAGGCCCCGAAGAGAGAGCTCTCGCCTTCACGGGATTGGGGACGTTGACAGGTTGAGCCACAGCAACAATGGTGGCCACAGCGATGAGAACCGTGCAGAGGATTTGTTGGATGGCCATGTTGTGGTAGAGGATGTGGATCTTCAATAAAGGGAGCGAGCTGGGAGGGGGGTTTCGTGTGTCTCTGCGCTTAGATGTAAGGAGCTTGACAAAGAAATCGTCAGCTACTTTGGAGGGGAGAGCACGAAATATATATATTTCCAGCTGTCATTCAGCGAGACATAGTGGTCCTCAAATGGTCGAGGCGATCCTGGCTGGGTCTCAAACATCAGGAGGCATAGCCTAGTTGTCCAGTAGGAGCCGCGAACCGGTTTGCGGTTCAGTTTGCGATTATCGGGTACGCCCACGAGGAAAATAACTTAAAAAAAGTGGCACGTCGAAGGCCTTCGCGACTAGCTATCAGAACGGATTCAGACTGTGTCACTTATTTTTCAATACGGCTCGGTGGATGATTCACTCGTCCCGTGCAGTAGTGAATACCATTTTCGCTCCACCAGGCTGAAAAATCGTATCCCTGTCCATACACAGAACACAACTACCAAATGTCTGCCAAAGCAGGTGTGCCAGTAGGTATACACGCGTGATTTGTAGAAACCGGTGCTGTTATTGGGTCACTAGGTTCTTTGCAGTGGGTTCCCGTAACTGGCCTCCCAATCCAAGCAACGAGCTCCTCAACGAACCACGTCTTCTTCCGCTTCAGGCAAACTCTGTTCGTCACCCAACCTAGGATTTCGGAGACAGAATGCAAACGCGATCAGGAGCGAACAGAGAGAGATTCCGGTGATGCAGAGTAATCTCTGCGAATGTTGATACGCGGCGATGATGGCTGTTCGCACAGGTGTGCCTACCGGGTATTCGTACGCAACGGTGAATGGATCGGCATAGGTCGCGGCAGCCAAGGTCGAATTTCCAAATGGCGCCAGGTTGGTCTCGAGCCTCGACGGGAGGACGTTGGTCCAGATCGTCCCAGAGATGGCGCCACCAAAAGCAGACCCGATGTTGTAGGTGGCCAGATACAGGCCAGTGATGACGGCAACGTGCTCGTGTTTGGTTGCAGCTTGGATTGAGGCCTGCGCCGGGTATGGGAACATGCCTCCAGCAATGCCCAAGAGCACCTGCGCACCAATGACGCCCGACTGGCCAGCTGAGCTGGGAGACCCACGGTAGTGAATGAGAAGCCCGAAGGCGACCATAAAGAGACAGGTTCCGGCGACGATGAACCATTTCAAGCGTCTGACCTGGTAAACCACCATTCCCAGAAGGAAGCCGGTGACAACAGATGAGAAACTATACAAGGAAGTGATTCGGGTGGCGCCCATAATACTGAAGTCAAAAGCAACGATGAGGACTGTGTAGAGATAGTCGCCTTGCATGTACCAAGCGAAATTTAAGGTGCAGGCGATTCCTAATGCCCCCCAAACGCCGCGGTCTCTGAGAAGGTGGAAGGGTACGAGTGGCCGAGGTGCCCTCAGTTGCCACAAGACGAAGACCGGAATGCAGAGGATGCCAATGACAAGGGGGGCAATAACATGTGCGGTGCCCCACGACGAACTTGATCCTCCAGCAATGGTCAGCGGCACAAGAACAAGAGCGAAAACGGCAATCAACAGGATGATTCCCGGAATGTCCAGGGCCCAGAAGAGCTCCAGTGTCAGTCGCCTCGCACCCATCATCTGGTAGGGCGTTTTGTACTTCTCCAGGACACCGGCTTTGCGAGCACGTCGGCCAACGACGTAAAGAGAGATCATCAGCGGCAGTGCACAGATGGGGTAAATTATGCACCACATCCCGATACCCCATTTCCAGGTCGTCGCGCCCAACACCGCCGAAGTTACATTGCCGCTGATCCAGGTGTTCACCAAGAAT